CACCTCTTCCTACACCCCCAACAGACACCACCTGTACACACACCTCTCCCAACACCAACACACACAGCCACTCCCTGTACACACACTTCTCCCAACACCCCCAGACACCCAACAGACACACCACCACTCACATAACTGTCTCAATCCCAACAGACACATCTCCCAGCACACACACAGACATCCCCCATACACACATGCACCTACACCCCTCCCTATACACTCACCTCTCCCAACACCCCCAACAGACACCTTCATACACACCCCTCCCAACACCCACAGACTTCCCCATACACACATATAGACAACCTATACCCAGACACCCCAACACCCATAGCCCTTTCCCTCCACCCCCCCGTACTGTTCTGCTATTACATTCTAGTCCTGGCCAGCATATCTCATGGGAACAGCCACAAAGAGGAGCAGGTAGGGTGAAGAGAGCATAGTATCCTGTCACCTGTCCTGAGCACTGCTAAACAACCCTCAGTTAGACTCCAAACAGTGGGATTTCTACCCTCCCCTGACAACTTCATCCCCACAACAACTCATTCACCAGCATGCTCTCCCCCTGTGAAAAAAGGCAAGAATGTGTGTATACCTGTTTATAATGGAAAACTGAAAAGCCTGAGATTCCACCTTGGCTGCTTTACCCACACACCCTAGCTTTTCTTCCATTTGCAAGGCCCAGGGGTGGGAGGACGGTGAGTGTGTTGGAAATTACTGAACTTAGTATTTTCCTTATGAGAAAAAAATTATCTCCCTTATTTTAAATCAATCCAGTTACCAGTGGGATTCTCACTACCTTCTCTGGCCTAGCTGGACATTTCTCTATTTGCCCACTACTTCATTCAGCATCAGTTATATGGTCATAGGACCACAAAGATGCCATCATGAGAAAGCCCCCTAAAGTCTGAGACGCAGGTCAACAGCCTGGCAAGTAGGCTGGAATACACATCAGTTTCATATAGTAGCTGCAACAGCAGCTACCTAGTTGGGGTTTGGCGCACCAGAGATCCAGGGCCTGTAAGTCCTATGTGCAGCTGCCTGAAAGGAGGCTGACATGGTGGTGGTCCATAAGCACCACAGGTTTTAACCATGTCTGCTTCCTTCCCTGTCTATCATATAGAATGTACTGGAGCATGTCTATAGCTGGTGATATGGATTTGCGGGTGCAGCACTGTGCACTGGACTTACAAAAGAGCGTGTAATTCAGCAAAGGGCTTGCAGCTGGTCTTCAGGCTGGATGTGATTTTATCTTGGCACAGCAGACAGGGCATGTAGTGGGATCAGCTCATGCCTCTTTTGCATGGACTGGTGCCCTGTAAGGATATGCCACAAATTATTATCCCCCTAGGGAAGAATGACCTGGGAACGTGCTCCAGGCTCCACCTGATTTAGAAGGCTAAGCAGGATATTGGATGGCTGCTGGACATGTTTCCTAGCATGGGGATAATATAGTTGGAGATACTAGTCTGCAGGGTTTGGCAGACTGCAATTCACCCACAAAAATGTGGATAGGGCCTGGAGGTGGGCCAACTGGAAAGTACTAACATGGCTGGAGTCCTGAGGTAACTTGGTTATCATCAGCCCAGCCTGTACCTAAGCTTTTTCTGATACAGGTGCAGATTTGTTCCTGGATGATCTCAGTAGTGGGTTGGCTGAATTGCTAGGTAACTTGGTGCAGGGACATGGGGGTGGAGGCAGCCAACCTGATACTGGTGCCTACTTGTGGCAGGTGCCCAATGCAGGAACTCATTGATTTAGACTCCAGATACAAACAGATCATGTAGCAGGCATCCCAAGGTGATGCCCCCCATCTCTTTAGGACATTATGTCTCCCTCCTGGGGGAAAATGCAAACCAGAGGCCAGGGGACACCCAGCCAATGTACTTGGTGGCGGTGCAAACTGAGGGTCAAGGTCCCCCTCTGACCTCAACCCCCTAAAGGGGGAGAGATGCTAGCAGGGGAGTGAAAGTGCCCAGAGCCCTCCTAATGTGATGGACTCCCCCTGCAGTGGAAGCCCCCAAGAATTGTCAAAGAATCAATGGGGTGCAAGTGACGGGGCTGTCCCTCAACAGGAACCTTGGATGTAATTTAACTAATAGAGCTGCAGCCTAGTTAAAACCCTTACCGTGTGTCTTGCCTTCTTCCGTGCAGTGAGCACACCAAACTTCTTTTCAAATGCCAAGCTGCTAGATTTAACTTGCAGAAGAACTGGTCCATACAATAACAAATCCAGCCCTGGAGTCAGGAAAAATGATGGGTTTATTGACATGTTCACCAGGTTAGGAAACCAAGATCTCCTGGGCCAAGACAAGATACAATAAGTAAGTGCAAACAACAATAAGAGGGAATGGGGTGAAAGGTAGGAAGAATGATGATGTACATGAAGAAATAAAATCCAGTTCACTCTGTCTCTATTGGAGCTGTGCTGGCATTGAAAGACTGATGCCAAGTCTATATTAGAAAAAGTTTGCTCATATAGTTATACTGGCAAACCGTCCCAGTGTAGACACACGTCATATGAGAAAAAAGTGCTTTTGTTGGGATAACTTATAGCAGTTCCCCAAGTAAAATAAGCTATACTAGCAAAAACACTTTCTGCCCGTATAACTGCATCTACACTAGGGCTTTTACCAGTATAGAAATATTGCAAAAACACCCCTAAGCTACATTGCTATACTGACAAAGTTTCTAGATTAGACCTGGCCCAAGAGGAGTAAAAATGTATTTGTCCCTAATGTCAGCAGATCAGATTCTGAAAATACAGAGAACAGACACGTTGCAGAAGAAGGTGCCACTTTTATCTAGTCACTTTTCATAGTAAGACCAGACTTTCAGAGAAACTTTGTTTCTCATCTATCCCATATTTTCAGACACAGCAACTTTTTTGTTCCCAGTAATATATTGACCTGAGTGCTCGGATCTGCAGCACTTACCTGAATGGCAGTCAGGTAATGGAGGTGGATATATCTTGGTGATACAAGACACGTTAATAATCCATATC